TAGGGAGAAATAACATTAAATCGTATCGGCACACACCTCAGATACTTCCACTAACGAACCTATAATGCAAGGGGAGGGTATAGTTTTTTCTTGGATTTGCAATTTTTTGGATAGCCATTTTTACGATGTTGTGCTAAGATGAACATCGAAAAAGATTGTAGTAATTACAGAAATCTGACTGTTTTTCTTTTTAAATTTAAGTAAATAGGTCCTTATTCAATGCATATATTTTTTATACATGATACTTCTGCGTTTAGATATACAAGATGCAGTGCCATTCTGGCTTCAAAAAAGCCTTAAACTCGACGTCGAGCATAGCACTGTAGCACAGAAGTTAAATCAAATAATAGTTTCTTCAAAATTAGGCAATCAGAGACTTGGTGATCGGTGTACCAATGATATTGACTTTTTTCAGTTTTTGAAATTCTTTATCTAAATATATGTTTCCTTTCCTAATTTAATCAAAATCAGAAAACTTATGTAATCAAAATCATAAAATATAAAAATATATCAAGATAAAAGACAATAGTTATAGACGAACAATATACTGAACTATTTCTGTAAGGAGAGCAACACTGAATTTACGAAAAATAATTAGCTGTTTTATTGTTGGCGATTGTAGGCATTACAATTTTATATGAAACAGCTGATATTTTTTTGTGAATTCAGTGTTGTTATTCTAGCAATAGTTGTACAGTTCATTTAACTCATCCATCACACGAAGTTCTGGCACATAATAATATTACACCTCACTGGAACGTTTTGAAATCTCGATTAGGAATCTATAATAATATGGGAAGGTAGATTTCAATATGTATTACAATTATTTTGAAATATTTTTTAAGGGTGAATTAATTTTTAAAAGCAATCCAGTGTTTATTTGTGTATTTAACTTACCAATAGCTGATTTCTAATTCACACGTAATGCAATAAATAAATTTTGGGAGCCTTTTCGATGCAAACCAATAAACCATTTTATCTTTCTTTTTTAATAATGTTTAAGTATAGATAAACGCTATTTGCATTTAGTACAATTGAAGAATAAAATACTAGCAGCACATCGGGTTCCATTGAATTTCTCATTTCTGTGTTTTAGAATTCTATTGTTAAGGTATTATGGAATAAAATAATTTGGAGACTATACATGTGTAGAAATAGTACACTCGAATAAGGGTTTAGGGGCATTCCTGCGTTACAATGCAATATTATCATAAAGGTTATCAGTGCGAATAAATCTGACAATGGAAATTTAGATATTCTATCAGAATATAAAAAAAAAGTAAATGAGCTGTTATATTTTTTCTCATTCCATGAAATAACAAAAATATCGTAGTAGTCCAAATAAAATTAATTTGAAAAATAAATTATATCCTATTGAAAATCCACAAGAAAGTGATAGTAAACGTCATACAATGCACGAAATTAGACAGGGCCGAGTACCACAAGGCACACATCTTTGTATACTGTTTCAATCCGCTGGCAGAAAGCTAGTGTAGTAAATATACCTATAGTTGACACATCTACACATTTATTTGTTTCAATTTTACAATATGAATGGAGAGATAGGGTTCCATTGGACACGTGCTTAATTATTTCGACCTTGTTCCCAACTGACTCGTCGAATTACAAACCTACTCATTTATACTGTCGTAAAAGTGGTACCATCTAACGAAATCGTCATCTTCAACTGAAATAGACGTGATATCATAACAATTTCTGTCATTTTAAATCCTAAATATCCAGTTGCACTATATCTATCTGTAATTCAAATTCAATATCGTTTAATCAGTGTAGGCTGTTACAAGTCGTGAATGTCGAAAGCTACGTCATCGGTCCGCAAATCCACGGCTGGAGACCTTTACTGAGAAGAATCTGCAAGCAACTCAACAAGGGCTACTTTTCCTCCCTGTTTTTATTTCATACTTTTTTTAGACAATTTTATCTTTCTAACTTTTCTTTAGAAGGCATTCGTATATCTCTTACCGTTTAAGCAGCGTTCACAAAAATAGGCGCTTCCATCCCTAGGGAACCCTTTAGTGGGAATTGTCTGTTTTATCAAAATCCGTTTTTTGTTTTTGCGTGACGAAGTAACAAACATACAAACGTACAAACTTTCGCCTTTATAATATTAGTAGAATTCAAGGTCGAATCAGATACTATGAGCACTAAATCTTAGCAAGGAACACCTACGAGTATAGTTCCTTTTACAGCACGTATAAATAAATATATTTAAACTAAAATAAAAAACACACAAAATGATTATTATTTGAAATTAATAGGCACAATTCATCTAGTAGTAATTAGGTAATGATTCGAGACTTATAATTTGCTACGTACTATTTTTTAAAAAAAAACCTCCACCAAGAGGAATTCGATAACAGAGTGGTTAACACGTTAGGTAGCTTCAGTTAATGGATAGAGATTGTGGACAACAGATACTGGCCATCGGCCTTTGTAAATAGTTTTTAAGTATGTCTTGTTTTTTATGTCAAATTGTAAAAAGTAATTTATTAAATTATACTTATTTCAAACCGAGTGCGTGTCTTCAATAGATGTCAAGCAATTTTTGCAAAGGATGGGTGACCAAAAACTCATTTTAACGAGCTCCATGTCAAAGCACATCAAGCTCAGCTGTATCTGCAGTTTTTAACGCCTACCAATTCACACTGGGCTCGCGTGGCCGATCATGGCCCGATATATTTCAATCCATAGTAAAGACATCTGCCATATTAAGGCTTATCAAGCAGTGGAACTATTTGATAATGATACTTTTGTGAAAAATGTCTTCCACAGCACGGAGAAACTGGAAAGAATACATTTTTGGTCACCAATCCGGAGACAGGCAGACAGGCTACGGTAGTTGCTTCACTTCAGTAATCGCAGAGAAAACGCGCTAACTACTACGCTATGCGCTTCTCCATCTCATTAATTTATATGAAATCATTGTTATAGAGTACTCAAAAATTTGTAAACAAATTGTGTTTTTACTGCCGTATAATAAAATATTTTATGGAAGCTATTAAAACATGTATATTTTCGGAATAATTACTGACAATAAACCTTTGGGTAATGTTAATGATCGACCCACAAACATCTAAATCGACAATACGTCATAACATCCATGTTTGATCAAATAAATCCAGCATAAGAAAAACACTTATTGGACATTTTCAAAAAACATATTCACATCTTTTCTTCTAATAAGAATATGAAATGATTAAATTCGAAAAGAAGATAGGATAACTGATTTCCCGCGACTTCGCTCTCGTCACCCGCGTATAATAATAATATAATAATAAAAAAAATTCTCATCACTCAGAATGTTTTACATACTAGTAAGTTACAAACACAGTTGTTCTTAAGGTTCTGGTGTGAGACTGATGCCTAAGTTAGATATTCAGAAGAATACCTGTATTAAAGGTCATCAGGCCTCCACTCCCTGTATAATGTACTAATTTGCTATTAAAAATTATTCTTATATTGCCGAAGATTACCCCCTGTGCACAAAGATACTAGTACAGTAAACACCACGTCAGACTATGCAAAACAGAAATCCCACTCAATTTTAAACCTTAATGCGTTAAAGGTAAAGGTCAATCCCATTGCAGAAAGACATTATGGTAACCTGACGTGCAATCTTGAGTACATGTAGATAGATGTACAATTTTACTCTTGTTTTTCAATCAAATTTTGTTTTTTTTTTTTTTACTTGAAAATATATATTTCTAAATGTATCTCGCAATGTTTTATCAGTAACTATTTTAGAAATACTCAACATTAGTAAGTTAACATATAGTCTGTCTCTAAAATTAAAATCTAAAACTGATTACAAAAAACACCGAATTACTTTATGGAAGTCAAGAAAAGATTAATTTAACAGCTTTTCTAGTTATAAATATTATATTTAAAATATTATCTTTTGAAGTATAAATTTTGTTGAAGTTTCTTTTTATTCTATTTATTTCAATAAAATGATTTCGATATTGAATTAGTTTGAAATTTAACACAAAATTTCAACTAGTTCGCCAATTAGTTTGTAAACATCTTTTATACGTTTATACCTTGCATATAAAAGGCAAGCAAACCAATCTTCCAAGGAGTTCTTCAAAGATTCTGAAGCCATCGTTCAAAACAGTTTTTTTCCTATTTATGTATCTTTTTTTGGTTATCTCGTTACATCAACTCATCAGTCTTGTGAGCTTCCTTTATTGATCACACGAGGACGTCAGTCTTACAGCATTTTCGGCCACTCCGTCAATTTGATCAGATTAAGATCTCAGCGGGGTTCCCTGTAAGACAACGTCCGATATAGTAGATGTCTGTATTTGTTCCCTAAATTGGCTTAATTCGATCAACGGTTGCATTTCAGGGAGCAATGCTTAGTTTACTTGTTATGAGAAAAAAATGTCCTGCCTTTTTTCTGCGGAGTAAATAAGTTTTAGACACTAGATGGTGTTAATTTAAACTTATAAAATAGAGAGAAGGAAAGATTTAATTGTTTGTTTGCATTAAAGAGCAATATTTCATATAAAATAACATTTAAAAAATGCTTTCAATTATTATATTTGATCAAATTTACATTAACAATGCTATACTGGAAAATATTGTTGATGAAAAATAATCCGCTTTCAATTTACGCTATATTATATGCGCGTGAAGTTACGGGAAAACAGTTTGTATACAATAAAAAAGCTTTTATGAGCTTTGTGAATATAAGAAAATATTCTATTCAATCTCAAAGATTCGAAAATTATAATAATAAAAAATAAACTTTCAGATAGTACCCATAGTGTTAGCAATTCTCTTAAAAAATGTTTATTAAATACAACTGACTTTACGGAGAATCTACAATAATGTATTATTAATTTGTTGTAATGTGCTAATATTTTATTTTTAAACCACTATTCGATCCCTTTTGAGATTGATAATTCAAAATCTTTTCTGAGTTAACATCTACCACATAATTATAATTAGTGTGCTTTTATATTAAATTAGTATAGATGATTGTCATATCTTTTCTCAGGTATTCTTTAAGTATTGGACGTGAGTATCTATAACAATAAAATATTTGTTATAACCTCAATAATTACGTGTAAAATACGTTGTGTATGGTACTCACCGCTACTGTCTTACGTTATACTAGTGGCCGCCAGCGACTTCGTCTGCGTTTTCCATTATTTCTTCGCACCTAATAGTTGCAGCGTGATGTTATATAGCCTAAAGCCTTCCTCGATAAATGGTCTATTCAACACAAAAATATTTTTCAATTCGAACCAGTAGTTCCTGAGATTAGCGCATTCAAACAAACAAAGAAACTCTTCAGCTTTATAATATTAGTATAGATATCATTTGGAACATACATATCCTTTAATTATATTTAATTTACTTTCAAACTGTTAATTAATTATTAATTAAGTAAGCCAATTTCGCTACACTAAGCACATTATAACACCCAACTTCTATACCTCCCGAAACTGAATTCTCTTAATGTATATTTTACGAGCCCAACTTTGATACTGAAAGTTACACAATCGAATAAGTTACATAACAAATGAAGTGTAGAGAACTTTTATATCATCATGTTTTACTTTTGAACGATTTTAACACGCGGGTGGTTTCTACCGAACTTAAATTAACCTCCGAGGAAACTCTTCCAATTTTCAACCTGACATTCCGATTAAGATTTCATTTTCCGTACCCGAAGTTTGTATTCTAGTATGAGATAATTTCGGATAAGGAAAGTTTAAAAATCCAGTTCGGTCGCGTTCGGAAACTTTGCTCAGACTTATCATCGGAAGGTAGGGTATTTATTTGTTATGTTATGATTATTTTTATTATATATCGATGGCTGAAAGGCTTAATTAAACTTAAATCTTGTACTTAATAGTTGTAATGAACAGAAGGTTTTGTATCGAACATCATCCTTTTTCGTTATTTTAATACACTAAAGTGGGACAGAGTATCATAATTTGGTTTTATTTTTTTTTACCCCTGTTATTTTTTATATGATTATCATATTTTGTTTTCTAAATGGGACTAACATTTGGTGTAAAAGACATTATAATTATATAGGAATTTTTAAATGAATTTTCAGTAAAGTTTCGACGATGTTCTGTAGCTTCAAGATGAATTCGGAATAATCATAATATCAATGTGATAGTTTAACATAACAATATAAATTCTTCTCCTTGCCCTTATTCCAGTTCATCAAGTGTCAGGCCTCCTTATGCTTTCCGGGTTGAAAAGGTGAAAGTTCCCTCTGAATTCGACCATCATATAGCAAGCAGTCTGTCTTTTCCTTTTAGCTGTGTTATTGAACACTTACTTCTTGATATACTTGAACACTACTTGAGATATAATAACATAAATGGTTTCTAATAATTAAAAAAAAAAAAATTGAGCAGAAATTCTTTAATACTTTCCGTGAAGAAAACAATGAAATATCTATGTGAAATACTTTTGATTATTTCTACTTGGAAATTAATAAATGAAGAGACATTAGGAAAAATGTTGCCTACAAGCATCGCCGAAAACTTTTAAGTGAAGTTTGATTTCAATTGATAGAATATTTGTTAAAATGTTTTCTTCGGATTGAGGGAAAAAGTTTTGATACAATTTTTATGAGATATTATTAGTTTCGAGGAAAAAATAAAATATCGATCGGCCAGACAACGTAGATAATTTAAAACTGGTTTTTAAGTGAAGATAATTTCAATATATTCTTAAATAAGGGAAATAATGATAGTGATATATTAATGTCGCAGCCAACTGGTTGCAATGGCCGTTCAATTGAATGGCGCCATTCAATTGCACGCCTAGTTTTCTAGTTGCATCATTACAACATTTAGACCGTTCAGCAAGTTGGCCGATTTAATAGCCGTCAAAATGTTCATTTAGTATGGTAACTATTAAAACTAATAATAACGATCGCGAAGCGCAGCGCAGCGTAGCGTCTTAAATTTCTGACCTACCCCACTTGGATCCACGTAGGTTATAAAACAAAAATTCTCAAAACTATTCTGTGCCATGAAAAAATTTCTTATTGAGACGATTTCAAATATATTTTTAGTTTTGAAGCAATTTAAGAAAATAGGCGAATATTACGCGCTCGCAAAGGTGCGGAACCCTATGAATTTATCTCATTAGACCACAAACGCTTGTCTTATGGCAAAGTCAAAAAATATTTTTCATTAATATATTTTTAAAATTTCATTAATTTATTTTTACAGAAACTCAGGGCTGTTTCACACAGTCGCAGAACTACACAATACTCAGGAGAAAGGGCTTAACGTTTTACCAAGAATGCGTGTGCCAAACAGCGGGGTACAATGGACGTCACCTAAAGTGGGTCGACAGTCACAACCAGGAGATCGATGTGTTACGGTATGTGATTACGTCATTGTTTCTGTTTACATCCTCTCGTATTTCAGTTAACGATAGGCCGCCTCATATATGTTTACTGTTACGAATATTAATTAATACACTCATTGTATGAATTAGAATAGAACGAGCATTATACGCTTACATAAATCATATCCTGTCATTTATGAGTATAAAGAGGCATAATTCAATGTGTTTATACTCGAAATTTCAAACGTGAATCGAAGAGAATATTACTTTAAATGATATCACGGGCAAAAAGACTACGAGAGGGAATCAATAAGCAAGTCAAAGGTACGAATGATAGATGATGGTATCATCATCATCATCAGCCTATTAATCTTTCCAATACTGGGTTTGCCACCTTTTCTTTCCAATTAAAGTACTTTAGTTACAGAAAAAAAGTACATAGAATCAAAATAAAGTATTATTTATTTTTCTTTATTATTAATTAAACTTAAAAATGTTTTATTATTTTTATTTATCGATTCAGCATAAAGCGATAATTTTTTTTTTAACGAAAAAATACGACTAAACTTCAAAATCACAAACAAATCAAATCACGCGAAATAAAGTATTTTCGTATACTTGATGGTTCTCATAGAGTATAGAGTACAATTGTCTGAAATAACATACAATACTTTATTATAAAGATAGGTGGTAACCCTAGCTGGGATTCAGGCCTTCCTTATTGATAGATCGGAATTAATAGAAGGAATAGGCCATTCCTAGTGCGGATTGGTGGCTATTCACACGTTAACGACTGTATCCATGTCCAACGACTTAAAATGCCTTCTCAAGCACAGAGGAACTTATGATAATTAATTTTCACCATCCATCACCACCCATTTTATGACTGGCCATTGTGAGACTTCTGCATCATGTATAGTATGTACTATTCACGTTGTTATTTATAGAATTTTTAGCTCTAGCTCTTCTTGTGTTCATGCAATGATGGCGTAATGCGCGATATGGAGCTTCAAATAAAGACATTGCCGTTCATTCGAAATCTCATTTTCACCAATAGCGTTATTAAGCTACTCGTGTAATATAATTTAAACCATCTCTCAGTTACCATAAATCACACAATTTTTTTTGCTTTTTTAAATGCTTAAACAATGTCTTATTTTTTAAATTCAATTCTTCTCCTAATTAAACAATGCTTCCATAAGACCAGGTACAGATCAGAAGGCTTACACGGAGCGTCAAAGTGATCGACTCAATTTATATATACCCACGGTGACTAAGGCCCTTTCAGGCCTCTATAGATGTGTTACAAACTTCGAGGGACGTGATTATTCACAGAACTTCTATATTGAAGCTTATGGTTAGTATCCGAATTGAACAAGTTTAGGACCTTTTGTTTAGTGTATATAGGAATATAGACTTCTTCTTTTCCTAAATATTTGAATTCAGACGAAGTTTTTATAAGTAGCAATTTTATTGAAACTTCTTTATTGAGTAAACCTTATTAGTTTGTGTGACCAATGCATTGTTTGTGAATATTTTTGCAATTATGAGATTGGTTTACTAGCTAATGTAAATGGAAAATTAATATCAAATTCTGTTTAGTACCTAAATATAAATTCTGAACATTGAGAAATTACCGCAGTCGGTATTTAGTCGATCAGTGTAGTTATATACATTATATAAGTAAATTAGGCTGATAATTTCTTATAATATTGTTTGTTTTCAAAGTCTAGATAAGCTGATCAGACCACATATTGGAACTAAAGTTTGTAAAGGTTAGGGCTTCTGGAGTTATCAAAATGCTTTTGCGTACGTGCGTGCGTGGTGAGCATGTCGAGGTGCATGTGTATATGTAAGAGAGAAAGAGATTATGAATGTGTGTGTATCTTCTATGTTTTACTGTATATGAATATGCCTAATATAATCACTATCCGAATAACTTTGACTTTATTATATGTGATCATATTTGCCATCGCAATGCTATAATGGAAAATATTTTTATTGAAGGTTTAAAATATATGTAAATATATTTCTTTCGGCTGTTTGGGTAATCCATGCCTGAACATTGATGAGAATACCCTCTGTAGTAGCGAAAAAGTAACAAGTGCTTGAAAGATTGAAAAGATTGATTGAAAGATAAAACAGGGAGAAAAAAATAGCCCTTGCTGAGTTTCTTGCCGGTTCTTCTCAGTACAAGGTCTCCCGCCGTAGTTTTGCGAACCGATGGCGTAGTTTTCGACTTTCACAAGTGCTCTGTAAAAGCCTAAATTGAATAAATAAATTTTGATTTGATTTGATTTGAGATCCATCAATCGTGTTAGGTCCTGGGTAGCTCAGTAGTTAAAGTTTTCGCCCTGATTGCGGAAGGTCGTGGGTTCGAATCCCATCTCAGAGTATCAAGGGCAAAGTGCATTTTTTACGCATTTTTCAAAATTATTTGACTTTGTTAAACCAAGACAAATTTTTCACATTGCCGATATTCACGTCCATCTTTTTCGTTTATATTTGTCTACATTACGATGACGATATCCAGAGGAATCTTTGTAATATTCAGTTCTTTAAACGGAAAAACTGAATCATATATTATTTTTAGAACCGGTGACAATCAATCCCCCTGAGGAACAGTTCATATTATTGGGGAATAGATCGCTGGTGAAATGCAAAGTCCACGCTGAGAATATGTCGAATATTTTAATAAGCTGGAGCAAAATAGAAGAGGATGAAAGAAGAATTAGCGTATGCTTATTTCTTTTCACTGTAGTTTCTTTAATCAGTGCATTAATATTGTCTTTTATTAAAATATAATTATATATAAACTGCAATTGTGGTATGTACCTAATTCTAACTGCAAAAAATCATGGTGCAATACGTTTAAATTGTTTTAAAAGCGCGTTAATTAATACTAAATATAGTCTTCAATTTTAGCTAACTAATAACGATAAATATGACATCACTGACGATGGTCTATATATAAACGACGTGGTAGATGAAGACAAAGGAAAATACAGTTGCTCTATTTATGATGAGAAGAATCTAGATGAAGTGGACAAGGATATTAATGTGAAGGTCAGTCTTATTGGAGTTAACTATTAAAGGCTTATACACAAATCAGCTTAAAGTCTCGCCTTAAATGTTGACAATGAAACAAGAATGACTAACGATCAGATTAACTATAAACATGACTCAATTTCCGTATCTGGTGTCGTAAGTAAATACCATTTTCTGTATTTGTTTCAATGTCCTAATAGTGTAGGATTATCAATCGATCAAAATCGGACATATATGACAAAAAAATTGTGTATTCAATTAGAAAACGAGTATTGTTTTTATATTTAAGTTATGATAATTATGAATCGATATTTTTAAGGAAATAAATAAAAATGTATTTGTAAATGTTTTTGATTAGATAATGATAAAACCAACTTTGAAAGATCTGGTTGTAGTACCGGATTCTACATTGGTTGCCGGTGATACACTTATCATGAAATGTATCGCGGACGGTATTCCACAACCTGAATATATATGGAGAAGGACTGACACGGTAAGTGAACTAAGTTACCATTTTCTATTTATTTATATAGGGTATTCGTAAATAAATCACCGACCTCATAGGAAGAGTCAACTTCCTATATAACAACCTGAAATACTAAGCACTCGAGTAAATTTTACACAGAAATAAAAAAGAGTTTTAGGCTAATATGTTAACTCTAGAAACCTAATCAACGTCAGGTTGCTGGTGTTTTCCAAATAACCCTGTATAAACAGAGAGGAATAAGGGCCACCAATACATGGACTTAATTAATTTTTTATACATGTAATTTTTGCTGGGCTATAATGCTATTTAATTTCTTCATCCTAGAGAATTCATTTAATTTTTATCCTAAGTTATATATATTTATCACTAAAAAACCAAGATTATTGAAACATAAACAAGGGAATAAGTAAAATTGAAAATTATTTAATTTTAATAGTTTATAATAATAATGGTAAAATAATAATAAAAAGGGATTGTCGGAATTATTTGATATTAAATGAGAAATTTAGGTATATCTAAAAAGTAATTTGGTTGAGGAGAATGGAGAAACTTACTGTATTTGTTGCTACCATATGAAGTTCACGTCGGTTAAAGCAATATGTAGTTATAATTTTATACTTATTTAATTTAATTGTGAAAACTTTGTTTAATTGAAATTATCATATTTTGTTGCACCACAAGAACAAGCAGTCTTGTTGAGTTATTATGGCATAGAAGAAGTTTTAGCACAAATTTTCAAAATTTATCAAGACTTGATACTAAACCAAAAGTAGTTTGTAATATGCCAAATTTTTAAAATATAACTTTGTTAAAATTAGGGCGAAATGGATAATCCGAGATGGAAGAAAGAAGATAACGGTATCATGATAGATCAAGTGTTGCCAGAAGACCAAGGAGAATATGAGTGCATAGCTCAAAGTATGGCTGGAGTTGTTTCAGAATCTGTCGATATAAAGGTAACAAAATTATATATATGTATATACATATAAAGGAATTTCTTACGTAATTTGTTTATTTTAAGAATCAAAAGTTTTAATGAATATTTTTAACTAAATTCTAGACCAATGACCTCACTCTAAGGAAACAACAGAGAATTTAGGGTAGCGGCTACGGATCAATTGTGCCCCATAATTTGTTACGCTTCACGTATGAATCCCGGTCTTATCAATTAAATTCAAATGTCAAAATTTTAACTCGGTAATAATGAAGTTACGCGATAGGCTGATGACTTTTGTTTTTAATTTGTAGGAAAATTCTGAGCTGAAATATGTTCAACTATTAATGCCATCTGTATACCTGAAATAATAAAAGATTTCTCTCCACAGGTCTTCGTCCCACCTAATATAACCTCTTTTTCTAACATAGAAGGGGTAGAAGGTGCTACCGTGCAACTAGTTTGCAATGCTAACGGGCGACCTGCGCCAAATATTTCAATTGTGTACATCGGAAAAGATGAAGATGAAATCAAGTAAGTAAGAAAACCGGTCTAGTGTGAGTCGAACTCACGCACGTGGAGTTCTGTACTGGAAACGACCAAAAAACAAATCATGTTTGTTGTATAGGAGCCACCTTAAATATTTATTTTATTCTGGTATTTTTGATGAATCGGCAACAGAAGTATATCATCTGTGAAAATTTCAATTGTCTAATTTTCACGGTGATATACAGCCTGGTAACAGACAGACAGCAAAGTTTTAGTAATCGAGTTCCCGTTTTACCTTTTGGGTACGGAACCCTAAAAAATGAACAATATCTTATATATATCATATTTACAATCATCATAACCACCACCAGCCCTTTACGTTCCCACTGCAGGGGCTCAGGCCTTCCTTATGGATGGTAAAGGAGGATGGGCCATGACCCTCCACGCTGGCCCAATGCTAATTGGAGGGTATTGACGACTGCAAATGCAGCCGGGACCAACGGCTTAACGTACCTTCTGAAGCACGGAGTAGCTCGAGATAATAATTTTTTTTTTGGTCACCCATCCCGTGACCGACCCTTGCGAAAGTTGCTTAACGACTACGATCGCGGGCCGCGGCGCTTATCCACTACGCCACCGAGCTACTCACATCATAACAACTACCTACCTACTAAATAAGAAATTATATAATCTCAAAAATAATCAATGATGAATAAAGAAACAGGAATTGAAGAGAACGTTGGAAATTATAATAAAACTAATGTATTTTTGGCGTCTGTAATTTAAAGTGACTATTTTCTTTCAGAGATGTTGAAATGGACGATTTTAAAGAAAATTTATCATTTATAAAACTAAGTAGATCAAACGAAGGCTTTTATGTTTGTAACGCGAGTAACGAAGGTAATAAATTAATTACACCATCTAATGTTACTAGGTTATTGATTTTGTATACAAATTAACAATTTTGTTTTAATTTTTTCCTTTTATCAAAAACCCATGATTCTAGAAGAATATTCTGGAAATAAATTAAGATTGAGACTCTTCATTCTTTTCCATTTTAGTTAATTTTACAACAGAAGAAATGTATCTAACTGTTTATTATAAGCCTCACTTTGAAATAAAAGAAGAAACAATATGGGGCTGGGAGGGACGCCTTGTAAATATGACTTGCGTGGCTGATGGCAAACCACCGCCGTCAATTAGATGGAGGTATGTGTCTACTAAATTAATATTACCTAGTCTAGCCATAAATTCTGTCACAAAAAAAATCTGATAATTTCTAAAAAAAAAAAAACTTTATTTTCAAGTTTTATATGTGATTATGTATAATGAAAAAGATATGTTAACGTACTAAACTAGTTATGTAAAGTGTCCAACCTTAGCTTTAACGCACGCTTTTAAACGGTCGAGCCATTCATCGATGGATTTATGAATGGTTTCCATTGGAAGCTTGGTCACTGCTGTCTTCAAAAATTTCTAGAGCGACTCAATATTTGGGTGACGCTTAGAGCAGGCCCTGTCCTCTAGTACAGACCACAATGTATAGTACAAAGAGTTTAAGTCTGGACTAGCCGAAGGCCAATCATCAGTCTTTGTGAAGTTTGGAACATTTTGCTCAAGCCAAATTTGGGAAATGTCCACACTTCGTTTTTAAATGAGGTGTTGTTGAGAGGTTAAACTACCGCTTCAAACACGGTATCTTGATACACTTTGGCTGAAATTTTCACTGACACCCCACCAAACCATGACATATGCTGGATGATGGCTTCGCTGAACTTTGGCTACCACCTCGGAAGCTTCTTTAGAGCTGTGTGCATACACTCGATCATTTTGTTTGCTGTAGTGCTCCTCGATTGTAAACATTTTTTCATTGGTATAAATAATTTTTCTGTTTTTCGTCCTCGACGTATCGAAGTAACAACTGTTTTGATCATTCGACTGTCTTTTTTTAGTACCTGAGTTTGAGTACCTTTAGTCCTCGGTGGGATTCTCATTTCTGTCGAAAGGATTTTCTGCTGCTTATGGGATTAAGACGAATTCTGGCCTTGACTGCATTTACGACCTGGCTTGTTCGAATAGACCGCGGTCGGCCGGACCTCTCACGGTCATCAACAGACATGGTTTCAGTGTACATTTGGATGGTACGATACACAAACATTCGGCTAATCCCTAGCTTTTTCAATGTATCAAAAATATCGGCTGGTTCCTTACCTACTTTGTACAGTGCAATTACTGCAGTCCTATTTTCTTTAGTGCGCCACTCCATTTTCAAAACAAATAATTTCTAAACAAAAACATACAGTAATGATGGGAAACAAGTCTACTTTTTTATCGCAGAAGCTAATATTCGGAATTCAAATTAATGGTTGTAAACAGTCAGTAACAGAATTTATGGCTAGATACTCAAAACTACTGAACAAATTGTAAAAAATCTTATTATTTACCTATTAATATCATAATCAGCTAGTAACAAATGAAATATTTCTTCTGATAAGAAGATTGTTGGATTAGCTGGTACTGTGCTACTGGTGGTCATTACTTGTTCACATTATGTGATTTTGTCTGTCTGTTCCTGCTAATCTCTGGAACGGCTAGATGGATTTTGACAGAACTTCTTCTGGCAGATAGCTGATATAATATGTATAATATTATCATCTGTATAAATATTTTCATATTATTCTTTTATTTTGAGGGATTTTTATCCTATTGAACAGATCAACCCCATCATACCACACTTAGTTATTAAATCTAAACTTATTTTGTGACGACATTTTACTAGAGAATTTAAACAATATTTATTGAAGGTTATCCTAAATTTATAAGTAATAAACATAACTTTTGTGCAATGTCAGATTTAGACTTTGCTAAATTAAAAAAATAAATACTTTGAATATTTTAATGATAGTTCGATGTCTACTCTCGTATTTTGTAATCTTTCTTCGGTGGTAGCCTTTTATTTGTGGATTTTTTTCATAAGTAATTTAATCAACATTGACAACTAAATTACTACGAATATGACAAACTGAGCATAAAAAAGCGCGGTCTCTATATAGTTATGTATTTCTAATCTTTGATATTTCAATGTTTGGTCTGGTTTTTATAGCTCTACTATCACCATCAAACAAATAAATTCTGACGATCTCCATGGCCGAGTAGCTCGCATGCCAGTTTTAAAGTGTCATCTCTGAGCGTAAGGTTTAGTCTTGGTCGAGACAATTCAGAAAATGAACTTGAAATATTGTCCGAGGTCCGGATGTTATGATACCTTCAATATTAAGTATCTGAATGCTAAATACTACCTAATTCAACATTTAAATTGTATATTGTCTAATATTTGTTTTTTTTTTGTTATCGACTTATTTAAGGGTCATCAGAGAGAATATGCCGATTACAGTGAATATAGAACAGAACATCTTTCCGAAATACTTTTACAACTCTGATCCAAGATATGTGCTGATAAACGTCACAGAAATGACTCGTCCACTTTATCTCTCATACGAATGTGACGCCGTAAACGATCTAGGATCAGATACCAAGAGGATACACTTCAGGGAGGGGCATGTTCCACCACCAGTTAGGAATGTAAGATTTTTTCGTGATGATTTATATTTTCTTTTAGGATTTACCATGTGCAATTATAGTATTACATCGTGGGCAAGGCCTGGTTATAATTACAGTGTAAGATAAATTGACAAGAGAACTGAAGAACGGACAGACTGACAAGGGCTGATGGACAGACAGCGAAACTATATTAAAAAAATCTCATTTGTACCCATTTAAGTGTAAAATACTGTGGCTTGATTTTCTGCTACGGTGACGTAAGATGTTTGTGGCACATACAATATTATGAATGAACTTATTAAATTCAATGAAAAAATCTGCTGCAGACGTTCGCGTCGCTGTGAAGTTCAAATGTAAAATATGAATTAGAAAATATGTAGGTGCTATGAATTTAATGCGCATTAGGAAATATCAATTAACAACAGAATCAAACATTTCTTACGAGTATACCTAAAGATGTTGAGAGGGCTTGGACAAATCTCAAAAATTATTTGAAACCATATATACTTTCAAATATTGTTTTCATTATAAAGTGGCTCACAGGTGAAGAAATTGAATATTGTTGTTTTTTATACAGAATGAATTTATTTTCACAAGCTTTTATTAAAATTTGCGTTTTAATTAGTGTAGATACAAATGCAAGCCAAATTTAACCCATTTCCTGGTTCTCGATCTCGATATGTATGGAATAGAGCTGATCTGATGATATTGCAGGAAGGAAGTCATCAGACCTTTTCAATTAAATAAAGACCTTTTCAAATTAACACTATTTAATTGTAGCTCGGTGGCGTAGTGGATAAGCGCCGCGGCCCACGATCGTAGTCGTTAAGCAACTTTCGCAAGGGTGACCAAAAAATTATTATCTCGAGCTACTCCGTGCTTCGGAAGGCACGTTAAGCCGTTGGTCCCGGCTGCATTTGCAGTCGTTAATACTCTCCAATCCGCATTGGGCCAGCGTGGAGGGTTATGGCCCATCCTCCTTAACCATCCATTGGGAAGGCCTGAGCCCCTGCAGTGGGGACGTAAAAGGGCTGATGGTGATGGTGAATTTGGGCTTATTTGTCTTAACAAAGACTTTGTCCCAATACATTATCCTGGATCCCCCTAATGGTGGAAACGCAAAGTGGTTATTAGAATTTATATTTAAAATGTCCAAAATAAGCGTGTTTTAAAATTATCCGAAATTAATATATGTAATTTATTTTTCCCTTTTAATGTTTTAGGTAAGCGCGATTATGATAACAGCGACATCCGCCACATTCTATATAGAAGAAGCGGAATATTTTCAAGGACCACAAATACACGGCTACGTGGCAGAATACGATATACGTGATAACTACAACGTGACCAGTATCCATGATAACAGAACATGGTCAATCGATTGGCCATTCACAATAAACAACTTGAAACCTAACACGAGTTATTTAATAAGATTTGCCGCTATTAATGTGGTCGGGTACAGTGGATGGAGTGATTATATGGAATTTTATACGCTCGAACCGTAAGTATATTAATTTGTTGTTTTAAATTTTCACTGTTGTTAACATTAGAATGATATTTAACTACAGGAATGCCATGTGACATGTGACAATGTGTGTAGCTCGGTGGCGTAGTGGACAAGCGCTGCGGCCCGCGATCGTTATTGTTAAGCAACTCTCGCAAGGGTCAGTCACGGGATGGGTGACCAAAAAATTATTTTCTCGAGCTACTCCGTGCTTCGGAAGGCACGTTAAGCCGTTGGTCCCGGCTGCATTTGCAGTCGTTAATACCCTCCAATCCGCATTGGGCCAGCGTGGTGGGTCATGGCCCATCCTCCTTAACCATCCATAAAGAAGGCCTGAGCCCCTGCAGTGGGGACGTAAAAGGCCTGATGATGATGATGATGATGAATGCCATGTACCTTATTATAGGGATGGCGATTGGTAGATTCTATTTAGTCTGTCAGTCAGATAATGATTAATATGGGATAAATATTTTGTTTGTTTCAATTTAAACAAGAAATGCTTTAGATAATTTCTCGACGCTCGCTACGTCACAATTTTGTAGAAAATGAACAAAAGCGTGACATCATACGATATTTCAATTCAATGTCTCGCCGTAATTTGCTGATTATGCAAAAAATAAACAAAATACGTATTTAATATTCTTCAACAAACTACCTGACGGATAAATTAACAAAAATTTGTCGTTTTCCCTATTATCGAGTCCCTAATGTTTCGGCGGCTATGATCATGGAGTAACTGAATTTTTATGGGATGATGTAATGAGGATATATTAAAAAAAATAGTTCCCGAAATCAAACTAGATGTCGCTACGGTACGTTCTTGATTTCTCCATGACAACCCTTCAGGTTTTCTTTCATGTTTAAAAGTAAATTAGTTTTCAAAACTCAATAAACAACTCATATTCTATTTGTACTTTTTCGTATTTGTAATGATATCCAAGTTTCGTACTTCTCAAATTTCAATTTTTTATTAAGTTAGTTAAAAGGATCGGAAATGACTGTCTTTGATCCATTCGTTTCCTGCAAAAATCAACTTTTGCTAGAGTCGCCATCTAGTGGAGGTGCTTTTTTAGTGCTTTCATTCGATCGATCGATCGCTTAAATCGACCTTCTTTCAGGTCTTCCGTTCGATACTTGTACCTCTGTTCACTACGTCACTATTAACTCGCACACAACACCCACAGTATCAGATCGCGAAATAACACTTTTTCACTTTACTGTCTCTGAAATATACAGGGGTTCGGATTCCAGACCACACTTTAGCGGGCCAATGCCAATGTCTACGTAATAATCGCATCTCGATAGATTCTAAAGTAGTTGCATTATGCCACTGTACTATCTGCCTGATTCCAATTTTATTATAACCTATATAGGAATAATTTGTGAGAAAGATATAGCACTAATAATATTGGACTATATATACAGATATAGTATAATGGCAAAACGCGAGTAGTTAAGATTCTTTTGAGATGCGATTTTTACTTAAACATTAGCAGAATTAGCCTGCAGTTACTGTTAAATCATCCAAATCTTGCAACAGCGTCAACATATCAGGGATTCGATAAATATAAGGTTCCTGGTAGTAACTACGTAGATCTATCCTTGTAACATTATTAATTTATTCTACTAAGGATTATAACTTATGTAAAGTTAGCGCCGAATATAAAGCCTAACTGAAAATGAGTTTGTAACTTTTATGTCTTTAATTGACAAATGAACTTCACTGAACTCGTAGACTGCAATAAAATTTATAATTCAAACTTATTTTTGCTGGCATAACCCATATTCTGCAATTTGCTTGCCATATTCAGCAGATTTGCTTCGGTTATATAATCCACTACGGCAAATAACGATTGTCCGAATTAGTGTGAAAAATGCTATAAGTCCAATTTTCAAAGATTCTTGTTAGTGAAAACGAAGTTGCAACTAATTGAATTTAGGTTGAAGCATTACCTTATATTTATCTTATTTTTTTAACTTTAATGAGAATTTATTGCATTCACAATATTGCCACTACCTTCTGGCTACGCTCATAGATCGAAATCGCTCATTGAGCGAAAAAATGGGTCACAACGTGTTGTGGCAATCGCAAAATAACCACATAGCGAAGCGAGCCATGTCGTGTCGTGAAGAAAAGCTACGACGCATTCTGCACGCTAACTAACTGTTTAATTTTACAATAGCGATTCGCTTCTGCCAGTTCGCTAGCCGTTGCCGCTGCACGCTCGCTTTGCTCGCTCGGCTCGTGTGTTGTTTGACATACTCTAACCTAATCTACTCAGATATGATTCAATACTATTCATAGTTTTCTTCATTACAATAACGCGATGTGGTCGAATAGTTATTCTGTGAATGCCATAACGCTTCTTGAGTGTTTCCATAAGAGTCATAACTCGAATTTTACTGTGACCACATCGTTGTGAACTATTTTTTGCTCAATGAGCAATTTCAATCCTTGAGCCTAAAATATACGAGTATATAGAATTAAAGAACATGAAAGCAGGACTGAGATGAATTTACTTGAATAAAACCTTTCCCTTAGATCGCCACCTAGTACACCAATATGGGAAACAATCTCCGAACTTTCATTAAACAATACATTAAATATATCTGAGGTAAATCAAGCTATATCATGGAGATTATCAGACAACAATGGTGCACCAGTGGATTACTACACATTGAAATATTGTCCGGTAAGTATAGATGAAGTTTATGTAAGTTTTATTTAGTCCATTTTTTTCTAGAAATTTAAACTTTGAAACGCTCTTCGGTTAAGTTCCCAGAACGTTGCTTAATCCATTTTCCCAGTAAACCCTCCTGATAATAAATAATATAGTCATTTATATTGAAATATGTATATTATACAGTTTCATTTTACATAAGCAAACGAATTTTCTGCAATTATCCATTGGTATTTATTTTTTTGAATCCATTACAATCGGAATTTGTATATTAAATCTAAATTCGTATAATGTTTTTATTTAAAATCTAGATATTTTGCACAAGTATTTCTTGTTAAATATATAAACATCACTAATATTATGGTACCTATCCAGTTATACAATTGACATATTTAGAAAGATCAATTAATTATCTTTTGAAGCCGATTACAAACAGCGAAATTAATAGGGATGGCGTAATAGAAATAACGAGAAATGAAAACGGAACCGAACGCTAATTGCTTTCATTGGATTATATGTCTGCAATCCAAGAATAGTACGATTTGCAAACTGTTGCAGTAATTCCTCACAGAAAAATCACAGAAAGAGATATTCAACTCCTAAAAATCCAATAAGTTCTTAAAATTTTACTATGTATAATTTTAGAATTTATTCAGAATCAAATTTGTCTGTTCATGTTCGTCTGAAAGAATAGATTTGAGTTCATGGTCCGTTCTTCAGGGCCGAACTAAGGGGTTTAAAGCCAGCGATTACCCATAAGAGCTAAATTTAGGACACCGGAGCAATTAGTATTAGTTTATTTTATGTTAGTGTTTCAGTGATATTAATGTATGGGGCTACGAATAATATTATTGCCTGAAGCGATTTAATAGTTCTGTCGTTCTCCCCAGGTTTGTTTCCACTGAAATTTGACCTAATTTTGTGGACACATAGACTGAATATGATGATGTTCCATTTACAATTAAGATTTTACATACATTTTATTCCGAAGTTCCCCAGAAAACAGCTCTTGTTGAAAGTGATTATATTAGTGTGTATAATAAATTTCAGATTGACGCAGAAAAATCATGCAAAGAGCAAAAGGTAGAATCAGATGGTGAATTGAAGGCTGATATGACAATTTTAGAACAAAATACGACATATTTAATAGAATTAGTTGCACATAATTACGTTGGATATTCAGCGCCAGCGAATATTACGATAACAACACCTGGTAAGATATTTATTGAATAAACTTATTTTATGCTACATTTTCCAATGGTAAAGGTAAATGAGCATTGAAATGAAAAATGTCTTTAAAATCTTCTTTTTCTATGATTTATAGTGACTCACTAAGCTCTATAAATCACCATTTTGTTCAGACGTCTTCTTAGATATGGAATTGTTATAGAGAGCATTGTATTCTATTAGTCTTGCACTTGACATTCGTACTTTAACATTTATGTGCAAATCACCATTTGTGCATATTTATTTCCCCATTATGGACGTTGTACAGGTATCTTGCAGATTCAATACTTGTAAGATACTAAGGCCCGGTCTAAAGTAGTGACAAGTAAATACCTTGAGTTTCAAAATTACCAAATAGCCATATGGAGTCTTAATTTTTTTCTCAAAACTAGAAAATCTTATGAAAATATTATGACACTTATAAATACCTCCCTTATATAACTCCCCAGACTTACTTCGACTAACATTTTCATAAATGTATATTAACTTATTTGTTAATTGGTATTTAAAAATTTTGATTATATACAATAGCTAATGACTTATATATTAACGTTTAAAATGTTTGGATCCGGGCTCTTGGGCACTAGTTAGATATGAATGAAATTTCTTAAACCACCAGTGTTATAGTTCTCGCACTATGAACGAACTATATATTTCATTTTATTTATTACAGCCAAGATTATAGGTCAAGCCCGCTTGTCAGCTGGTGCCTTAATTGGTATATCTGTGGTGGTAGTATTTTTGTGTCTGCTAGTGCTGGATCTCCTATTACTGTTATGGAGGCGACAAGGCATCATGGCGACATGTTGCTGCAGGAAGAATAAGAATAAGATGGTCAGCAATTTGCAAACACGGTAAGATTAAATAGGTATTTAATACGAAATTGTGTAAAACATATTTGTTTATAATGTGATACTATTAGATTTTTGTTTGTATTTAAGATTTTTGTATAATAAAACCTTATTTTGTAATCGATTCTTCCAATATTTAACTAGCTTTCCGCCAGCGGCATTGCCCTCAAAGTCCAGTACTATACAAATAAACCTTCCTCTAAAATCAAATTCTATATTCTTACGTAAGAATCGCATTCCAATAGTCTCAACTACTTGCTATTAGTATTATGTTGCTGTTGTACTATTCAATATAATCAATCCAATATTTGTGCAATGTCTTTTTTACAAGTACTGTGTCATAAGGCCTGTATTTGAAACACTATTTGCTTTCCATAATTCCGATGACATTAGCAGAATTGCCCTACTAGTATGAAAATAGCATGAATGAAATGTGAGCTCTAAATCCTTCTCGCAGCTATTATTAGGGCTCAAATGTGATTTTAGTATCTTTTTCTGTACCTTAACGACCATTATATATTTGAAAAGTTGTTTTTTATTTTCTATTTATAAAGAAAAGCGTTATTTTATGCTGAGCTAAAGATTTGAAGTAATATGAAGCTATTTTTTGTGTTTTGTTTATTTGAAAGCAGAAATAATTGTTGATTAGGCTTATTTTCTTGTGATGTAAATAATATTTACCTTATTTCTTTATTGAACATATCAAGTAGAAGTGGAGGTTCTATTTGATATGTTCAATAATTCCTGCAACATCAGAAATTAGAGTGGATGACTATTGCGCACTACAACTGACTGCCCGTCGCACTACCCCATACTCCTGTATAGTCAAATTTAGTAAATTACCAGTACTGATATCTCCCACCTTCTACTTTCTATTTTTAATATGTAATTTCTTAGATAGCGCTTTAGGCAATAATTTTAGGAATGAAACGCAAACGTAACGAAGCAAAATAGTGCTTTGAAGCAATAACTTTATAATATAGATAAAAGAATTAAGAAAGGCGAAGGCTGTGTTTTGATAAATTTTAAATCCACGGTAATACTAATAGTTATGCGACAAATCATAATTTTAGCGTTCTCTTCAAATCTACTTTTCACGCAGACGAAGTCGCGGGCACAGCTAGTATATCATATAATACGAAAAAAAAAATCTTGAACGCCCAAATATGCCTTTTGAAGGCCACTTCAAAAGGTAAAAGCAAGAGTCTGTAATTCCTTCAAGATTTCCTTAAGAAAGGAAGAAATAAAAAGATTTGTAAATAAGTTTCTATTGATTTGCAGCGACAAAAAAGGCCTTTTGAAAGACAGCCACGATGAATCTGAAAGGAGCCGTAACAATAGACCCAAAGAGTATGAATACAATAAGACGACCGGCATAATCACGGGGAAACATTCAGCAGTTTAAATAATACTGCACTGTGACGATATATGTTTGTATAATGTATCTTTCTTTTATATAAGTGTAAACAGCATGTGTGAGCGGACGTTAAATAAAGGTCATTCGAGACGGTCGAATAGTTTGATCTAAATATTTAGGTATTCAGTGGGTCAGTGGTCTAATTTCAAGATCTATCAAGATCAAGAAACAGTAAAAACTTCCTTAGTTAAAGTAATATTTGCGTTTATAACTTGCTTTACAGAATACGGGTGTAGACAGGAAACGAAAATAAATAAATGTTATTGATATTCTGGTAGTGTTTTAATATTGCTTAAATTAATTATGAAAAAACAAATATTTTATACTCGTTGACAAGTGACCACAAACAGCTTGTGACGTCACGCTCTTCGTACTCACATCAGAACTTAGAGAATTCAATCTTATGCATACATAGAGCGATATTAGTTTTAGAGGAGCGTGACGTCATAGCGACGCCATGACAGAAGTTTTAAAAATCATAATATTTTAAAATATAAAAACGTTGTCTGCATCCCTATTTCGAATAATGTCAATTTAACGACATCGTTCATTCCATATCTTTCAAAAAGCATAGCAATTGCTATCGCTATCAAATGTCAAACATTTGTAGAGTTAAGGTCGTGAATATCTTACAGTTCGACACTTTCCATTTTTCGATTCTTTTGTTAAATTACACTCTATCAGTTACTCATATGCTAAGGCTGATATGCTGTAATGATGATAAAACTGCTACAAATTCGTCGAAAAACGCAACGCTCTCAGGTCAAAGAACTTCAATAAAAGTTATCCGTATTATTTTTTGATGTTGGTTTTATCTGATCTGACGTGAAAACGCATCGATGAGTTCGAGGATGATTTTACCACAGAGCAGCACTATTGATCTATATATATTTATATACAAATATAATTATAGACAAGATTGTACATTTTAGTTGTCTTACATTAAAAAAAAAAGATTATAATTAGGTATAACGGCGGGTAGTCAGAACAGGCTATTACGAAGCCCAAATAGATAGTCCATATCGGAGGACTATCTTTAAAATAACACTGCAGGCGTGTATACCAACGTGGATTTATTCCATTTTATCACTTTTCGTACGAAAATATAACGAGATGAGCGTGATCTCGTCGGATGTCTTTACTCCTCGGCGATCGGAAACAGAATGTGTGCCAAAATGGCGGCAACTTGCTTTTTATTAATGAACTGTCAAAGTCAGTGTCACCATTCTAATAAAATTAAAAGTATCGATGATCACGCTCTCTTTACAATCGAGTAATTAAGTAATCGAGTAACTAGCAATTGAAATAAAAGAAACTAAATCAAACGATCTTCGTAATGATGATGCGACAGGTATAATTTAAACAATTTTTAGTATATAGTTGTCATAGTGCTTGACTACAAAAACAACAAAACTCTTTAGAAGATTAATGTTAAAATTTGATAATGATTCTATTGATGCCACTGGTTCAGATAAGGTGTTGATTGGCTGCTAGGGTTAGAAACCCTGAGATAAAGTTGCAGTTTTGTATGTTTTTAAATAAAATTAAAATAAAGGATTTAAATATTTTTTTTAAATAAAGGATTATGTGTTTTTTTTTATTCATAAAACACGTAAATTTTGGTCAAACCATTGGATCGTCTCGGAGGCCTATAAGTTCACAGTTGAGTCAGGAACTACAGACAAGGATTGTGATTTTTACAATCTCCAACTATTATTAATACGTATTTTAGATATATGTATGTACGTGTACATACGGCAACAAGTCAATTTATCAAAAAATGTGTAATTTTAACATATGGTTTATAATTCTTCCCATGTTGTATGATTTAAAATTAAGTAGAGAAAATCAGTTGTGTATAACCTGACGTGCTGTTGACTAAATCTGTATTTTAACGACCTTCGCCTATTTGTAAATATTTCCATACTTTGTATTATTGCAGATTTATGTTTTTCATACTTAAGTTTCTAAAGTACATTTTACTTAATATGTAAGTAACCATCTATTTTGTGTAAGCCCTAGTTGTAAAAATACTGTTAAACGAAATATAACTCACAGCCCTATGTGTCTACTGGGCAATTTGTCTAGGTTAGCCATTTAGTATTATTTTGTAAAAAAAAATCATCGTCTGACGCAGCATCGAGCAAATCGCTGCCAAACAATCCCTTTATTATCTTTGGAAAAAATTAAAAGAAATTCTATTTAGTCTGTCAGTTTTATTTAGTTCGTTATGTATTATTTTTGCTTCAATTTTATAAGATGTGGCTTAAAATAATAGGCATTAAAGTTTAGGAGGGCTCCCTATATAACAACTATCTAGAAAATGTACAAAGGATGTGACGTTATACGACATTTCAATTTAATGTATCTCTGTAAATTATTGATTAAAAATAAGTGTTTAACATTCTTCAATAATCTACCCCAAGCACAAGCAAAATTTAGTCATCCTCCCTATTAAAATGTAGGATTCTAGTTTAATTTGAGCGGAGGAAAATGTTAATTAATTAACTTTTGGGTTTAGACTTAGGTTTAGACACTCCGCTCAGTATCAGATATCTAATATATCAACATCCACCATCAACCCTTTTTAGTCTCCACTGCAGGTGCTCAGGCCTTCCTTATGGTTAAGAAGGATGTGCCATCACCCTCCACGCTGGCCCAATTCTGATCAAAGGGTATTAACGATTGCATATACAGCCGGGACTTACTGCTTAACGTGCCTTCCGAAGCACATACTCCGTGTTTAGAGATAATAATAATAATTTTTTGTCATGCATTCCGGGACCTTCCTTTGCGAAAGTCGCTTAACGTAGATTATCTGCATCAGAGGCAGTTTCAGGTCCTACCTCCGTTGCATAATAAATTATCGAAAAATGCGTACCTTTGGAGTCGTTAGTATTTCGGGAATAGACGAAATTTCATTTTCGGAGAAATAGAATAAATTAGTTTCCAGGTTTCCTGTTAATTCGTAGGAGTAATTAAATCGATAAGTAACTTACTTCTCTTTTCGATTAACCAACTTCTAAAAAGTAAAATTAAAATTATTTTACGTTCAGTCACTTTTCTATTGTAAATAAGCCAAAGAGATCGCACTATATAAACTAGTAATTTCTTCAACGTAAAATAGGGATGATGACTAATTTTTGTTTGTTTGTCCGTCAGGTAGCGAGCCCCCACTCCTCAACTTTAATTCCTGTTATCTAAGCTATTTCTTGTTAAATTAAAGTAAAAAAAAATACTTATCTAATATTTTTCTATTATCTGACTGACGGACTAAATAGAATGCATTTTTTTTACCCAGTCATCATCCCTATTGACAAAAATATTTGCCAGGCCTGTCTATAGAACGGGTAGAAATTAAAATGCCAAAAACATTTCTAAATGATTACTCATTGTTAAGCTATAACGATAATTATATAAACATTCATATTTTCACAATAGCATATTTTCATAATACTCTTTGGTTTTATTCACAATTAATTGAATAAGAATGATTTGCAGCACACTCTAAAAGTTTTAAAAAGTGATATCTAAATTGTTATTAGAAATAATTGAATTTATGATAGATATAGAGTTTAATAGTCGGTACAATTAAGCACATTTCAATAAGTATAATTCCATTTGTTCATTATCATTAATTTCTTTAAGACAAAACATCGGTTAAAGTATCAAATTAACGTGAATGGTGTAATGATAAATAAATGTCAATAATTTTTAAAACAGATTCATGTCTTAAAAACTTATCAAATATGGAATAGTGCACCTAAAATGGTATACTGAAAAAATTACGTTCCATATTTACAGAAATTTTAATACACTTTGAAATAAATCAATTTGGAATTTCCCGAACTTGTTGACAGTTAAATTTTCCTTAGGGATAAAATATATGCCCGTTACCGGCGTATTTATTTTACCAATGTATTATAACAATATAATATTGTATTACGAATTATCTTATAAACAATGATAATACGTATAACGTAAGCGTTATACGTGTTATCATTGTTTATAAGTGAGAGTGGTTATTTGTTCAAACATAATTTTATTAAGAATCAATTTATGGTTATTATTTTTTTATACCAAATACTGCTGTATTTTTGTTAAATATTATTATCAAATAAATGATATCATTATATTTTATCTTGTCTATCTATTTCACGAATAATCTATGATTTTATCAACAGCTATAGAAAATATTCTATATCTACCAACCCAATCCTATATTCATCATCATCATCAACCCTTTTACGTCCCCACTGCAGGGGCCTTCCTTATGGATGGTTAAGGAGGATAGGCCACGACCCCCCACGCTGGCCCCATGCGGATTGGAGCGTATTAACGACTGCAAATGCAGCCGGGACCAACGGCTTAACGTGCCTTCCGAAGCACGAAGTAGCTCGAGATAATAATTTTTTGGGCACCCATCCCGTGACCGACCCTTGCGAAAGTTGCTTAACGACAACAATCGTGGGCCGCGGCGCTTGTCCACTACGCCACCGAGCTACTTATAATCCTATATTGGATCTCTGTTATCTATTCGGCTTTTCATATTCTCATCTTTGTATTTATATTATATTTGTTTATTCGAATACAATTATTATCTCTGTTTATAATGTTATTATTTAAATATTGCTAAAGTTGCTGTCTATTAAATATAAGATAACTGAAACACCAGTTGTATGACATTGATTTTCAATTGAGTTATCGGTTAGAATTATAGTCATTAATAGTAAATAAATATCAGACAACCTCCCAGTTGCACAAACATCTATTAAAATTATAATATTTGATGAATTTTGCATTCACAATGCTTTACTGTATAATATTCTCAATGAAAAATGTTAAAAAAAAATCTCCCTGGCACTGGTGTTCGTGTTCTATCTCAGAGTGCCAGAGACAAAATTTATTCTTTAACCGTTTTATATTAAGAATATTATTATACTTAAAAACTGTAATGAATGTTTTAAATTTGAAAACTATGTCGGTAA